GGCTTCATCATCAAAATGCTTCCTCTCATTGTCGTGTACACTTCATTCAATCCCATCAAAAACTGAATAAGTCGCCTGTCCTGCTCTGCCTTATGCATATTGTCCTTTGAGCCACACGTACAAGCACAAGTGCACTGGGACCTTGCATTGAGATTGCTCAACTCTTCCCATAGTCTTTTCATTCGCGTGTAGTAGGTAGTAATGTCCAAAGACCCTTGAACAAGATCATTGATCTCCTTTTGGATTTGATACAGCTTTGCACCGTTCGTTTGATCATATCGATCTTCCAATTCTCTCCACAATTCTACTGAATCACTAACATACTCAACACTATCAGAAATTTCTTTTGACAAGGAATTGAGAATCCAGGAAGTTACCATGTTGTCACACCTTTCCCAGTGACGAAATTGTGGTGAATTGGGGGAAGGTTTCCCACAGTCTCCACTTACGAACCCTAATTTGTTTTTAACAGACAGGGCTCTCAACACACTTCTTCTCCACGACCTATATCCAATCCCGTCAAACGGAACCGGCACTAGAGTTACTCCGGGGCTATCGGAAGGATGAATGTACAGAGGACTACTTACATCAATAACAAGTTGGTCATTTCTGCTGGTGTTGGGCGTGACTTCTTCGGTCTGATCGATAGCCATGAGAAAGGGACTAGATGATGAAATTGGCTAATTTCTTAGCTGAATCGTTGGACAAACTGTCTAATCGTGTAAAGTGCCTTCACTCCGCAAAGTACTACAGTTCGAAATCGGAAAACTGAGACCTAGCAGATGACTAAACGAGATAGGTTTTGAGGAGGAGGAACTCCGACAGATCTTCGCCGACGATATCACCCTTGCTCTGATACCATATTGAGATTTGTATTTTGACCTAAGATTAAGCTTATGCAAGAGCTTCAATGGCGGTTTGGAACATTCGAGAGAGAGAGAGAGAGAAATATCCGGGAGAACAGAAAGAGAAAAGTGAATATTAAAAATAGACTACTCTCAACTTCAAGAATTAACAAAGTAGTGTGTGTATATGCAACACGTAGGAAAAGTAAAGA